GGGAAAGTAAAGTTCCCTAGAATTGTTTTACCTCTTTTTTAAACTGATAATGATAATAATAATAATAATATTTTAAAATGACTTTCATAACAAATGGAAATATTTATGGAAAATTCTTTAATTAGGTTGGATAATTTAAAATAATTATTTGTCTGAACAATTTTTCATCGTTTTAACGAAACGATCTAATATGTGATGAGTATAAGCCAAATGATTCTATTAACGGGGACAAGGGCTGGAGACCACCTAGTGTAAAACAATGGACATGTGTCTTTAGGCCCATGTTAATAGATAGACAGATAGAGTTTTTTCTCATAAAACCATGCAGGTACAAAGGTTACAGAGAAGTTAAAAAATAATATATATAAAAATAAAAATGCATTAAAAATGCATAAAATTTCGGATGAGATAACATATAAAAGAATATATATATACTTAAACAGTCAAACGGAAAAGTTAAATTGTAAAAAGAAATGTTTTTGGTGTAAAAATATGATAAATTATGTGTAGAAGGAGTGAGTTTACTATTAATACATCGTATAAAATTGCAGAGGTTTCTGAGTGTCAATGGTTTTTTTTAATTAAACAGTGTGTTAAATTTGATAATGTTATGTCTGAGTATTTCATTTGGAATAAATCTTCTTCTTTCGAATCATCTTGTAAAGCCGGGCAAACAAAAATATAATGATATTCGTCTCCGCTATCTCTATTCGTACATATAAACATTTTCTTCCACTTCTGTCATTGATATGCCATCTCCCCTTTTCTATTGGCAGTGTATGATTCGATGAAATAAATATCAATAATGATCAAAAAATTGTTATGAAAACAAAATGTCAAATGTCTTGGTACTTAAATTGCTTCATTGTGCCAAGAAATATATCCTTTGCATGATTAAAATTTAATTACTTTTCATTTTCAAGGCTTATGAACAATTTCTTAAACTTAAAAATGAATATTATATATGTAGTAAAAAGAAAATATTTCAAGATCTTTCTCTTATATATTCAAATGATCGTCAACGAATTATTTGTGACTTTTTGTCCTGTCAAATTTGTGACTTTTATGTCCTGTGATTTTTGTCCTGTGAATGTCTATCCGTTTACCGATATTTTTAATCCAATAATCGTACTCTGGATTCATTTCAGGTCACAAGTGAAATTCGAGAGCTTACCTATCATCATATATATAATGATCTTTTTTTATAATTTTAATATAAAAATCCAGCGATTGAAAGCCAAGCTATGTACGAAGTATACTACTTGTTTTCTCCTAGTCACTCCTGGTCACAGCTCGTACTCACCTTTCTTGATTTTTCCTACATTGGACTAGACATTTCGAAAGAAATAATTTCTACGGAAATTCTAAAAGTAAATTTTTTTTATGAAAAATGCCACGTTTGTTTCCATTTTCTTGTATTTATCTTCCTATCTACTAATTATTTAGAATTTTGCATTATGAGTATTGGACTGTGATAAATGCATGTGTAAATACTTGTGTCAAGAAACTTCTTATAGGCACAAATCATCAAATTTTATTGAAACAGACAGAAATTAGCTCAATGAATGGGTTCATAATTGTTTGAATATATTAAAATAATGTCTTGAACTAGTTTAAACAAGATTTTAAATTCAACATAGTGGTGTATTCAAATGATTTTACGGTTTTATTTCTTTTGTCAAGATTGCAGACAATCGATCGGAAAAGTAGAAAGTAAAATGAAGCCAGATACTTAGCCTAACATACTAATCACTGCAAAACGTGACACTTACAATGACCAAGTTTTGATTGTTTAATAATAATCAGGGTTCTTCTGGTGATAATTTCAGAAAAATCTTTATTCGATGACATTTGTATACCCAATGGCATGCAGACACTAGGAGAAGGGGTTATAAAGTGGTACCCTTGATGTCTGTCCTTCCGTCCGTCCCAGAAGTATGTTCACATATTATAAGCAAGCTCGAGCGGGGCCACTTGTGTCCTCAGACACACTAATCTATTATTTTATACATTTTTGTGACATTTCAGTCAAATTATACCACATATATTATTTTGTCTGTGACTTTATTTTTTTTCTTTCGTTTCCTTTCCTTTCCCAATAAAACTCAGAATTATCCCATAATTTACATCTCTATAAGTGCACACTGCTGTGCGCATTCATGTTCCTTTTTGTTGATCGGCAATCCTCCTTCTCAAGAAAAATCAACACGCATATCTTCGTTTTCAAAAACGTCAAAAAATCTCTACAAATTTAAGATTACGATTGTTTAGATTCAAGAAAAAGAGTGATATTTGTAGACATTGGAGAGTTCATGTAAGTTTTTTTTTCTCTCGTAATGTTGTAAGGTGCCATTTTGTGCAGATAAATGGTAACTTGTTTAGCCGGTTATTGAAAGAAAACCAAGATTTTCTATACCCAATTTCAATTCAAAAGGATTTCTAAAATACTGCTTTGGTTCATAAGTTTATATATACACGTACATTTAATTGATTTCTTTTTTAGCTCTCAAAAAGAGACATAAATTTCAACAACAGAATATTGGATTCCGTAAAAAAGGATCTCCCCCATCCTCGAATAAACTATCTTCCCAATATGAATCCCTGGGGACTCATGTGGACTCGGATGGATACTGGTAATCTTTACACATTCCCCAATTCATTAACAGTGACGTCGAACACACATATGCAACAAAAAGAAAAGACGAAAACGAAAGAAAGATACTAAAAACATATCTTTAAGAAGGTATCCCATCGTTCCTTTGGATTGAAATAAAAAAATGGTAACAAGAGTAGTCAATTGGATTATAGTTACCACCAAAACCTCTGTTACATCGTTTGAACAGGAGGGCTTTTTACCACACGTCATGCAGAGTCAAAATCCTTCTAACGAAGCATGGATATGCTTTAATTTAAATATTAGGTTCTAGTCAATATGTGTGTATAAGTGACAATACCATTTACACAAAAGTTCTGTCATACTACAAAAATATGATGTTGTTTGTTTGTGTTTACTTATAAAAGATCATACTTTTTTTATTCCAATTAAAGGGACCATCATGAGCAAAGTGCTTTATTACAATAATTTTTTTTTATAATCGAGAGACACAATTCATAATGACGATCTTATTAAAATGTGAATATAATTATCAGCATAATTTCATCATCTTACGCCACAGAAAGACCAGGCCATACACCAAAAAAAAAAAAAAAAAGGCCAGTCCTAGAAGTTTTAAAAAGCAGTAATAAAATAGGTTATACAAAATATTTTATGCAAATATTGTTAACGGGCTGCATATATATTATATTGATAGTTTATTGATATAAGTTTCAATAATTTTTAATATCTCAAAACTACAATTTACAATGTATTCGCATGTCAGCATTAAGTCTGCATTCTTGTGACCAACTCCTTCTCATTACACAAAATATTTTCAAACTCATTAACAATTTACTTACATCAATTATATTTCTTGCGTCAAAAGTTAATTAGAGATTTGTATATTTGGAATATACCTACACCGGACGTGTCAACCTACTCTTCCAATACCTCGTACCTACCCCTACCTATTATGCGTAGTCAAAAAGGGGCTGCAATAAAAATGAGATTTATCTCATGACAACGTTCATATGGATATAAAACCTAGAATTTCTGGTAATATTTTCATTATTCACTATGGATTAAGACACAGCAATAGTTTACACTTATAGAGACCGTGCATTTTCTTCAGCTAATGATATTGACGTTTTGCTTGGTAAGTACTATTTTCTTTCCTTTTAAATTAAGATGTATATTAAAGAAAGCAAAAAAAATATATATCATAAAATAATGGTATTAATAGTTGTTTTCCATTTTATATCTCTGTCGATGTGCATATTTTGCAAATACACCTAGTCCGGGGTCATTTCAGGTCACCACCCAGACTCGTCTATTATGACCTACATTAAATTATTTCGTTGAATCTCGAATAAATATCTTTTATAAATGGAGATTTTAGTCCAAACTTCTCCTTTGATCAAGTTTTCCGTCAACAAGCTTTACGACAATAAACAGTTTATATACAGTTTAATAGCTATCGTAATGCAATACACAGTCACATGTACCCCTAGTATAGTAACTTCAAGCTAGTCCGGGGTCCTGTCAGGACACAGTCCGGACTCACCTGTCCAAGATTGAGTATTACATCGTTAATCGCTGATTAAGTGTTTTCCGATGACAATCGCCTAAACATATATATAAAGAATTGAATGAAGAAATAAATGAAGAAGAAGAAAAAACACATCTTTCAATCTAGCAATTAATTATGTTTATTTCTCCATTGCTGTTTATATAAGTCCGGGGTTACTTCAGGCCAAGGCCCGGACTCACCTAGTATTATTTTGCTCTTTCTCTTATAAACGTCTTTTGTCAATTTTTTCCGATGATAAAATCACTGATTGATACAAAAACTTAAAGCACAAATATTAAACTCTTGGAGAAATTTAAATAAACATTTCTAAATAATAAACTTTGATTAAACTTAATTATCTATTTATTGTATATTATTCATTTCATTTCTGGTACCAATTGAGTTTATTCTTCTTTATTTATATTGTTTAACCTGACCGTCAATATATTATTGTTCTAAACTCAAGAACATGTAAAAATTGATATCATACTATGACAGGGAAATTTCTATATTTATCAATATATTTGAAAAAAAAATGAAAATCACTTTACTTTCCGTATATTAAAATAAAAATGTCAATGCATATTTTTTTAATATATTTATTTTAATAATATTTTTATTAAGTTTTCTTGTCGCTAAATAGTCTTCTCGTCGCTTCTTGTCGCTAAATTTATTCTTCTTGTCGCTTCTTGACGCTTTTTGTCGCTAAAATTCTTCTTGTCGCTAAAATTCTTCTTGTCGCTTATTAGTGAGACCGGTCAATAAATGTTAATTACATTAAAGATCATTAAAGAGGTCAAAATCTTTCAATCCGGGTCCGGCATCCAGTCCGGGTCTGGCGTCCGGTCCGGGTCCGGGTTTCATACCCCATCAGTATGGCGTCGGACATCTCTCAGACTCTTCGAAGCAAAGGCAAAAAACGACAACATGATGATTCTGACGAAGACTGGGCAGTTGATTCGAATCTAAGCACGACGAGTAATAAATCTAACTTATCTAACACATCCCTCGGTGATGGCAAACTTCAACCGAGTACGTCAAGCTGGGAGATAGTAGACTTAAAAGCTGTTGGCGTTTTTTACAACAGTAATTCTCTACCAATACCAACACTATTAGACATGATTTATGATCAGTCAGGAATGTTTGGAGCATTGAAAACGCCACAAAAAGAATTTGTTGAGGGTCTCCAGAAAAATATTACGTTTTCTTCATCAATGCTTAATGTGAAAACTGGCTATCACTTGAATGATATTTTAAGTGAAAGCAAGCACAATTTAGAATCAAACAAGGATACAAATAGGTAAGAAAAATGTGAAATTGACTTGAGAGTCTAATGGAACTTGTTTTTTGAGTGATTTATTTGTAAGAAAAAAATGAATGTTGAAAAGATTATTATAAATTCAATGTACGTACAGAGACGTGCAATCACAATGGCGGCGTGTTTATGTTTCAAAACGAAAGTTGCAAAGTTCATGCTTGAGCTGTAAATAAATCAACCAATGAAATACAACAAAAATAAAAACTTACCTTGAATACTTTGTTAAGTATCCTTTTAGCTTCATTACATTTAATATCCTTTTTGGAATCGACTTGTATAAGCACTGAATATAGTCAGGGGGTAATACTGACCCAAATACGGTGGATTTTTTGGAACAATTCGTTTTTAGATTGAATCATCCCAGTACGTGTTTGAAGTTTTCTTTTTACATGTAACCAAACATTTTCTATTATAGGACTGTGCAGGCCAGCTCATACCGTTTATTCCTTCCGAGCTACAAACTCTTGGGTGGACTGTGCACGATGGACAGTGGCATTGTCATCCTGGAAAAAATAATTTCCGCCTGGAAAATGCCAAGCTATCACTGGCCACAAATATTCAAGTATTTCTTGATATTTAACAGCATTAATATTGCCTTCTACAGTAGTAAGTGTACCTACGCCATTCCAGCAAATACTTGATATTTTGTTTGTTATGTCCGTGGTTGAACAAGGTACTGTCTCCACCCCTCTCTCTTTTTCGCCATACGTAAACAACACGTTCATCATGTCCAATCATAATTTTGCTCTCGTCAGAGAAAATAACCTTTTTAGCTCACCGGGGCGCGAAGAGCCCCATGTGAGCTTATGCCATCACTTGGCGTCCGTTGTCGTCGTAAACTATTTCAAAAATCTTCTCCTCTGAAACTACTGGGCCAATTACCTTCAAACTTTAATTAAATGTTCCTTAGGGTATCTAGTTTATAAATTGTATCCGAAGTTATGATCCATCGACAAACATGGCCGCCATGGCTAAAAATAGAACATAGGGGTCAAATGCAGTTTTTGGCTTATATCTCAAAAACTAAAGCTTTTAGAGCAAATCTTTAAGGGGTAAAATTGTTCAATTGGTCAAGATCTATCAGCTCTGAAATTTTCAGACGAATCGAACAACCCATTGTTGGGTTGCAGCCACCGAATTGGTAGTTTTAACAAAATTTTGCAGTTTTTTGTTATTATTTTGAATATTATTATAGATATATATAAACTGTGAGCAGCAATAATGTTCAGCAAAGTAAGATCTACAAAAAAGTTAATATGACCATAATTGTCAATTGACCCCTTAAGGAGTTATTGCCCTTTAAAGACAATTTTACACAATTTGTTCAAGTTTGCTAACATTTAAAAATCTCCTCTGAAACTACTGGGCCAATTACCTTCAAACTTTAACTAAATGTTCCTTAGGGTATCTTGTTTATAAATTGTATCTGAAGTTTGTATCCATCGACAAACATGGCCGCAATGGCTAAAAATAGAACATAAGGGTCAAATGCAGTTTTTGGCTTATATCTCAAAAACTAAATCTTTTAGAGCAAATGTGACAAGGGATAAAATTGTTTAATTGGTCAAGATCTATCGGCCCTGAAATTTTCAGATGAATCGAACAACCCATTGTTGGGTTGCTGCCACCGAATTGGTAGTTTTAACAAAATTTTGCAGTTTTTTGTTGTTATTTTGAATATTATTATAGATATATATAAACTGTAAGCAGCAATAATGTTCAGCAAAGTAAGATCTACAAAAAAGTTAAAATGACCATAATTGTCAATTGACCCCTTAAGGAGTTATTGTCCTTTAAAGACAATTTAACACAATTTGTTCAAGTTTGCTAACATTTAAAAATCTTCTCCTCTGAAACTACTGGGCCAATTACCTTCAAACTTTAACTAAATGTTCCTTAGGGTATCTTGTTTATAAATTGTATCTGAAGTTTGTATCCATCGACAAACATGGCCGCCATGGCTAAAAATAGAACATAAGGGTCAAATGCAGTTTTTGGCTTATATCTCAAAAACTAAATCTTTTAGAGCAAATGTGACATGGGTTAAAATTGTTTAATTGGTCAAGATCTATAGGCCCTGAAATTTTCAGATGAATCGAACAACCCATTGTTGGGTTGCTGATGTCGAATTGGTAGTTTTAACAAAATTTTAGATATATGTAAACTGTAAGCAGCAATAATGTTCAGCAAAGTAAGATCTACAAAAAAGTTAAAATGGCCAAAATTGTCAATTGATCCCTTAAGGAGTTATTGCCCTTTAAAGACAATTTTACACAATTTGTTCATCAAGTTTGCTAACATTTAAAAATCTTCTCCTCTGAAATACAGGTGAGCGATTCAGGCTTTTGAGAGCCTCTTGTTCCAGTGGTTATTAATCGTCCATCTCCTTTTTTCTCTGCAGCATGCAAGTCTCTTTTTCCAATTGACTTCCCTGATCAGGTTTTTTTTTTTATTTACACACCTGTATTTCCCATGTTTATGTAAATGGTGCTGAATGGTACGTTTAGACACAGGAACACAATTTTCTTCATTAAACTTGTTTGTTATGTCACACAAAGAACTCCTCCGACTTGTCTTTACAATGCGTTATAGCTTGCGGTAGTCGCATGGTTTTACAAATAATGGTTGGCCACTTCTTGGTATATTCTCCTCTGAACCTGTGTCTAAAAATTTCCATACATTGTCAATAACTGTTGACTTGGGAATTTTAAGTATATCAGCAATTTTCCGACGAAAAAACCCATTCTGGAACATTTCCACAATCATGTTTTTGACATCAGTTGACAGTTCCTGACCTTTTCTACCCATCTTGTTATTTTACTTGTTTTAACAAAACCACAATTGGCAGACGACAACAAATGTCACATGACGGTAGCCCATGTGATGCACAACACTAAAATATTAGTACAGTAATACTCAGTGAAGTGAATGACGTGGGGCAAGGCCATTTAAAAGTCAGTCACCTGTAAGAACATAAACACGATGCCAATGTGACCGAATACTTTTTGCACGTCTCTGTACATACAGTCAGGGGTACTACTTGTACAGCCTTCACGCTTAACTTTTGAGTCCACAGAGTCCACAAGCCAGAAGCTCAATTTTTGGAAAATTTTTGTTGGATTCTGTTGGCTTGTAGAGAAGAACTTTGCAAGCCCGAAAGCAATTTAACAAGCCAATGCTGTAGGACTTGTGGTTAAGCGTGAAGACTGCTTGTACAAGTAATTTTTATTTACTTAAGCTTGAAGAAGTAAATATTAATTACTGATATAAGTTAAAAGCCTTTTCAATACATAAAGTCAATAAGGAATTATACCTAATGACTTGAAACATGCTAGAGTCTAGCCGGCATAAAAAAGGTAGCTGCGAATACGTAGATCTTAAGGTCCTTTTGATGATTTTGATATTTGCGGACCTGGCAAAAAAAATTTCAACGGACAATAGAGCTACGTTTTCGCAGCTAACAAAAAGGGGGACAAACATAAACTGGTCAACTATAGACCAATCTCATTAACTTGTATTTGCTGCCAGTTAATGGAGCATATAGTCACGTCACACATTATGAAACATCTTGAATCCAATAACATCTTGTACGACCTCCAATTAGTCAGGGGAACTTCTTAAACAAGTGATTTCACAATCACTTCTTTAAGTGATTTTGGTTGTGAAATATTAAAATGTTTCCCCAAAATAGACACAGACTTTTTAAAATCACTGAACATGTATTTTAGAAGTTAAAATGTAATCACTTTAATAAGTGTATCTATTATTTTCTTGATATTTTTTCCACAAGCTTGATTATTTTATTGGTAAAAAGAAAAGAATTCAATTGAAAAAACAACTACATGTATGTACAGAAATTGTCTTTTGCTTGATAACCTTGTCATCTTTACAGTTCATTTAAAATATGCAAAAACTTGAATAATTTGTAGATCAGGTCATAACCTTGAAGATGTTCATTCTAACTCTAAAGAAACCCAATCAGGTAATATTGTTGACCTTTGCCTGATAGTAGGAGTAGTTAATGAATATTTGATTACAGAAAAATTCCCAAGGGTACTTTTATAAGCTTTAGCACACTAACTTACTGCCCAAGTGCACTGGTGAAGTAAATATAGAAAGGAAAAGGGATAATTGATCTATGTAGGAAAATTATAGAAAAGTTTGAGAAAATATTGAAATTCAAAGAAATTAGCATTTGAAGATCAAAGGAAACACCCAAATCACCTAAATAGGTGATAACTGAATTTATCAAATCACTGAAATAGGTGATAATGGATTAACTTGTTTAAGTAGCACCCCTGACTGCCAATATGACTTGTGGCACTCTCTATCTTGCGAAACACAACTTCTCTCTTGCATTCATAAACTTCAAACCATGTGTTTTGAAGTCGAAGTTTCAGATTGTCATCTTATAGTAAACAATCAACAAAGAAGCATGAATATTGAGCACGTGTTTAACATGTACAATCAGATAATAGTGTATTTCAGTGACAGATCCATGTGTACTGCGATCAGTGGATTTCTACGAGAAAGGTCACGCTAAGGTGACTTTGCATACGGAAAATATGTCAGCGAATTGCTTCCTGGAAGCAAGCAATTTTAAAAATAGTAAACTTCTTCTAAATGTGGACAAGTTAAAGAATTTTCTTCAAAAAAAAGTATATGTACATAAGTTTAATAATGAAAACTATCCATTTTGTTATAAAAAAACATATGCATCATTTTTATACGCCTGTTTACGGGACGTATTATGGTATACCGTTGTCTGTCTGTCCGTCCGTCTGTCCGTCCGTCGTCAACATGTCGGACATTAACTCAAAAATGCTTTAACCAATTTGCATAAAACTTTGGTGAATTGTTTATATCTATTGACGTGAGCTCCCTTTCGTTTTTTATAAATTTTAGATTTTACGTTTGCGAGTTGTGGGGTTTTATTCATTAAAAAAAGGGGGATTTTCCAGTTTTCGGACAATAACTCAAGAATGCTTTCACCAACTTGCAAGAAATTGTGGTGAATTGATTATATTTATTGACATGAATTCCCTTTCGATTTTTATATATTATAGATTTTACGTTTCCGAGTTACAGGGTTTTTTTCATAAAAAAAGGGGGATTTTCCGGTTTTCGGACAAAAAATCAAAAATGCTTTCAGCAGTTCTTATGAAACTTTGGTGAATTGTTTATATCTATTGATGTAAGCTCCATTTAGAATTTTATAAATTTTACATTTTACATTTCTGAGTTATGGGGTTTTATTCATTAAAAAAGGGGGGATTTTCCAGTTTTCGGACAATAACTCAAAAATGCTGTCAGCAATTCTCATGAAACTTTGGTGAATTGTTTATATCTATTGATGTAAGCTCCCTTTACATTTTTATAAATTTCTAATATGACATTGAGAATTAATTGAACTTTATTGGTTTATAGTCTTGACAACAGATTTACTAAGTATTGCGCAACAGCACAGTGTATTGCACAACAGCAAGAAATCTTTAATTGAATATAAATTCAATTCATATAACCAATTTCAAGTTCTTTGACTACATTTATTCAGAAACCTATAATATGTCAAATATTTAATTACAATCCAAATTCAGACCTGTATCAAGCTTGAATATTGTGTCCACTTTTGACCCAACTGTTCAGGGTTGGACCTCTGCGGGCGTATCCAGCTGCGCTCAGCGAAGCAGTTTATTTTTATTTTGAGGTTTCATATATATGACTTTAAGTATTTAGAAGTTAGATTATTCTTTTTTCGTTACTTTGTTTGAAATCCATGATCAAAGAAATACATTTTATGATTTTGAAAATGACTTATAGACACCAATGGGTCGGGTGTATTTTATTGTTTATATAATAAAAATTTACTTACTTACGTTAAACTGGATCTCTGCGTTTCTCTCTACCATACTCAAACAGTTCTGGATCATCAAGCACAGTCCCAGTCACCTATGGTGTTCCACAAGGTACTGTCTTAGGTCCAGTCCTTTTCTTGGTCTATATTAATGACCTTCCAGACTACCTTATTCATAGCAAACTAAGATTATTCGTGATGACTGCCTCAAACTGCAAGCTGATATTGATGCAGCAGCAAAATGGGAAGTGGACTGGCTTATGGCCTTCCATCCAGACAAGTGTATTGTTTGCTCTGTCACAACTAAACGTCAACCTTTTCAACATAACTACATGTACATTTTTCACAATCATATTTTAGAAAACGTAACATCCGCTACATGTAAGTACCTATGCATCACACTACAATCCAACCTCAAATAGGACAAACATATATATAGATGACAATATCTCTAAAGCTAATAAAACACTCTTAGAAGAAACCTGAAAACAGCAAATTAAAACATTAAGAGCCAGGCATACCAAGCACTGTCCGTCCAAAACTCGAGTACTCGTGCTCAGTTTGGGACCCTCACACTTCAGAATCTATCTCGAAGATATAGATGGCCCAAAGGAGAGCTGCTTGGTATGCCTGCAACAGGAATCATAACACTAGCAGTGTTTCAAACATGCTTGAGGCAAAGTACCCTGACACGTCTTGCGAAATCACACTCAGCAAAACAGTCAAATTGAGGAATACTGTGGATTCATTTATTTTCGTGGGTATCAATTTTCATGGATTGAGGAAAACTTACATTTTCGTGGATATTTGAATTCGTGGTTTGCCGATTTCTGTGTACAAAGCCTATAGAAAATTTGTAATTCGTTGAACATATGAATTCGTGGTTGACCTGTATCCACGAAACCCACGAAAATTGGTATCCAACGAATAATAATGAATCCACAGTAGGTCACATTCGGTACTTAAACATGTTAAAAGACCAGACAACGTAAATGGCAAACAACAATCTAAGACTTGGTAAAAATGTCCTTAGTTAGTATAATTTAAATATATTTATTTATAGTGGATTGGGAAACAAGTTTTGCAACTTATAATAATCCCTTTCCACTTTGCAGGTGCGAGTACTGCCTTGTAGCAGCATTAGCCTGCTCTTTATCGAAATCTACAAGGGTGTCTTTTACGTGAAAGAGATATGGCTCTCTCTTAACACGGGTCAGTCATTTATCCTCCCCTTCCGACGGACTATCATCGTTTCCTCAAGACCATACTCGCAAATGGTGTCAAGAGAGAGCCGAAAATTCAGTCCCTGAAATTTTCATCCTGGACCGGGAATTAAACCAGGAACCTTTGTTATAGTAGTCCGATGCACTAACCACTACACCACAGCTCTCACTTAGTTAGTTTAGACAGAGACACATACATGTAGTATGGATCAACCAATTCGTGATGGTGTCCATAAAATTTTCTTAAACATCCCCACAACAAAAAAGACACTATAGTACTAATCTGAGAGAACTTGCAGTTACTGACAGCTAGTTCAAGTCAATAACAACTAACATCACTAATAAAGTTATCATGTATCTAAGACCATGAAGACTAAAATATCAATCATTACACATCCAACATCCCAGGATGTAGTGTAAAGACGTCATTTACTGTCAGAGAAAAACATGACCTTGTGCAATGCCAAACTACATGTATTATATACAATTGCATGAACAGGTTGTAGTATGTTGAAAGTACCATATCATATCATATGTGCAGATATTTGCAGACCAAATCTTTGTATCTATGGAAGAATTTAACATTTAGAATTTAAGTAAATAGTGGCTAGGAAATCCCTTAATTTACTAGTAATACATAGATAATGCTCATTGAGATGGAAAACCTCACTAAAGATTAAAGGCATTGTTCACCTCGAATTTTTTTTTTCATTAACAAATACATTTGGGATTTCTCTCAGCAAATCATAGACTTTGCCATTCCTTTATATATGAAAATAAGATGATCATTTTGTGAGTTTTCTCATAGTAATTCCAGATTATTCTATATTGTAATCACAGTTTTATCTAAGGTCAATGGAGGTAGAATTTGATCCATTATTAGTAGTGATTTTCATTTCCAGTAAACTATTTTATTTTGTTTTAGCAAAGTTGAAGATTTCATTGCTAACACAGTGCTTATGATACGGTGTGCATTGGAGAGACAAATTCCAGCAAAACTTACAAAAGCTGTGTTTGTAGATCTCTTCAAATCGTTTGCAAAGATGTGTGGCTTAGTTGCAGTGTAAGTTGTAATTTATTTAGTTGTGGCAGTTTAATACTTAACTACATGTATGAAATGTTTCCAAAACATTCAACAGAGAGTTATAAAGAACACTCGTTCTTCACTTTTGACATTGGATGAAGAGCAGGAAGCATTTCTCATCTTATGCAGCTACATATTTCAGACCATCAGACGAAAGAAACATTTCAACAGAATTTCAGTAGTTAGTATATTATATTGTAGCACTTCCTGTAGAAAGAATTTAAAGATTACTTCCTGAGTTCAAATACAATTCTATTTTTAAAGACAATGTAAGATATTGCAGTAATACTTGGCATGATAGGTAGGGTGAGATGTACAGTAGATTCATTATTATTCGTTGGATACTAATTTGTGTGGGTTTCATGGGTACAAGTGAACCACTAATTCAAATGTTCAACAAATAGCATATTTTTAATGGGCTTTGTATTCAGAAATGCGCAAAACCACCAAATCAAGTATCCACTTAAAATTAAAATGCAAGTTTTCAGCAATCCACAAAAATTGATACCCACAAAATAAATGAATCCACAGTACTGTGAAATTAGAAAGTATTGCAAAGTTTTTATTGATGCAAAAATATGACAGTGTCAGCTTGAACAACTAAAAATCTCACTCATAATTCAATATAATTTTGTCAATAACTTTTTTTGTTAAAAAAATCTTTTACCCTAAAACTACTGGACCAAATGTTTCCAACCCTCACCTGGGTGATCTTTACGACCTTCTAGACCATCTCAATCAAATATTTCTCTTATATAAGCATGTATAAGTGTTAACTCATTTAATACTACTTTGTTATAAATATTGTATTGCATTATTGTATTGTGCTTATCTTAATATTTTTTGTGTAACACAATTTCTTAGACCATTTTTTTTTTAATTTTAGTTGTGGGTCAGAATGGAGAACAAACATAGATATTCTTAAATGCAGAGTATCTTCAGAAGCAGATGTTATACTTATGAATGCAGATTATCTGAAAAATAAGAAGAGTACAGTGTCAGTTGTTTCAATTAAAGAGGTAATTTTTATAAGGGTTAAAAAATATTAAAGTTTTATCCATTTGTCAGCAAATCAACTTCATTTCTAAATGTGTGAGATCCATATATGTCTACCTACAGACGGGAGTACAACAATCTTGGTTTCAGGGGTTTCCTCCTGTCCTCTAGTTGAGAAAATAAATAACGTGTTTAAAATATTTCATGAATGAACATTTTTTGGCCCTATTTTTGTCTTGCTTGACAGGGTAAAAAAGGGAGACATAGGTATGCTGTTTCTGGCGTCAACAGCGACGATGACGTTGGGGTCAACAAGGTATGTGATAAGGTCTAGTTTATGGTGAACAATTACAGTCAGGGGTACTACTTATACAAGTGTATTTTTTTTACTTATATAAGTAAAAAAAAATTAACGTAATCACGTAAATTTTTTTTACTGTGAATTTGATCGATCGGTAAAATTTTGAATTTCGCGCATTTATTGTCATCAACTGCAGTACCCGGATGTTTAGAAACCGCCATCTACGCAGAATCCATCTTGTTTAGGAAAAAGAAACAGGTACAGGTCAGTGAACTATGATTTTTATCGATATGAAAGGTTAAAATCGGGTCATTTTGTGTTGTTTTATTTGCATTTTTACGAATGGAAGAGGATTTTTTAGGGACATCGTCATATTTTTCTTTGGAAGTTTAGTTACTGAACCAACAGTTTCCGATGCATTTGTAATTGCGCAAGAAGGTTTTGTAATTGTGCACGCGAATTTTAGTCACCCACCCTTCGAGTTTTTTTTTACGTATATACGTAAAAAAAATATTAACATGAATTTTAGGGAGATAACTCTGGATGCCTTGTAACTATTTCGTGAATATACCAGTAAATGCCGGGAGTAAATGCGATATATTTATCATCGTGGAATTTATTCATTTCCCACAGAACGCATATTCCCAGTAAAGGACTGAATTTTATTTTGTTTTAAATAAAATGTTTCTGTATAAAGCGTCCTAAATATATATTTATATCATGTTGACTTTTAAAAGGACTTTCAATGTTTATAAAACATGTAATAGAGACACCAAGGCCAGACTTGTCACTCGGATAAAATAATTTCACCAAAGTAAATAACTAGTCTTACACAATTGAAAGAATTTCAAACATGGGTTTACTAGTATAGGCATTATATAATTGTTAATTTTTTTTAAGAGCGTGTGTCAAACATATTTTGTGCAAATTAGAACACAGCTTTGTTTACAAAGTAAATAAGGATGTTATATAGACCTTTTTCTATTCGAGTATCTGTGACACGAACTATTGATGTCAAACAACAATCACGTTTCTTTTTTGGCATCAGACATTTTCTCTTGTCATGCTTCTCACGTCAAAATTTTCCGGGAAAATGTAACATGTCCAGTAAAGGAGGACAAATAGCTAAAAGTTGTATTATAATTGCACGTAGGTCTGGTATTAATTAATAATCATGTTAAAAATAAGTATTATTGGATTATTGGTATTATTCTGTCAGATCATGTTTGTATTGGACTTAACAGAAACTTTGCACCTTTATCCTTTACATATGATTTCTGTGCTGTCGATTTATATAATTTAGATGTCTTGGAACTTTTTGTAAACATTTGGTGATCCACAAAATAATCATACACATCATGCACGCGAAAGAAAAACTTATATTGAGAATTTAAGAATTATTTACTGAGTAAAAAAAAATTACTTGATTAGGTAAAAATACATTACTTGATCAAGTAAAAAAATATTACTGGATTAAGTAAATAAACATTACTGGATTAAGTAAAAAAAACATTACTGGATTAAGTTAAAAAACATTACAAGTATTTTTACGCATACATATGGCAAATATACCCTTACTGATTTTCTGCCAGCAACGACTCAGAGGTGGTGTGAATCTGTGATTTCGGAGGGGAACCCTAATCGCACAGGTAGTGAATAGACTAAACAAGACTTCAGTGCACAACATTTTTTCTTGTCTGTTAAAGCCACTTAACTTTTCTGTCATCCCCACAAGAAAATTTCCCTTCAGAATTTGCAGTAACAAAATAAAAGGGGGTTGGCAATCTGGGTACACTTGGCTATTTGGTAACCCCGACATTTTACATTTTAGATCTTTTACTCCAATACTTACCTGACTTAAGACCCAGAAGTAAGATAACAAAAATACTCGAACAAGTAAAAAACATTATGCAGGTTGCATCAAATATTTCTTGTCTTAACTTGATATGGGTAAGGGTTCATCATTTTTCCCTTTGAAAGGGACTTTGAAAACTTCCTTTTTACAAAAAATTTAAAGTGGCACTAATGTCAGGCTGTCATGGCTGTGAAGTTGACTAAAATGAAAATAAGAGGTTTGGTTTCAAACGTAAATGAGAGTAGAATATTGAAATAATCTTGAATAAATCGCTGATTAATTATTATCTTGCAATTGAATAATTCAACCTCATTAGCATTCCTATTCAGGCGAACTTCAATTTGACCTGAACCGGGATGGGTTATAGCCTTTTTATACGACCGCAAAAATTGAAAATTTTTTGGTCGTATATTGGTATGACGTTGGCGTCGTCGTCGTCGTCGTCGTCGTCGTCTGGCGTCGTCCGGCGTCGTCCGAAGACACATTGGTTTTCGCACTCTAACTTTATTTTAAGTGAATGGATCTCCATGAAATTTTACCATAAGGTTCAATACCACGAAAGGAAGGTGGGGATTGATTTTGGGGGTTATGGTACCTACAGTTAAGGAATTAGGGGCCAAAAAGGGGCCAAAAATAAGCATTTTTGTAACTTCCAGACAATAACTTGTGTGTAAGTGTATGGATCTCTCTGACATTGTACCACAAGGTTCCATATCACAAAGGGAAGGCTGTAATTGATTTTGGGGGTAATTGTCTCAAAATTTTAGGAATTAGGGGCCAAAAAAGGGGCAAAAAACAAGCATTTTTCTAGTTTCATGACAATAACTTGTGTGTAAGTGTTTGGATATTTCTGAAATTGTACTACAAGGTTCCATATCACAAAGGGAAAGCTGGAATTGAGTTTGGGGGTAATTGCCCGAAACGTTTAGGAATTGGGGGCCAAAAAGGGGCCAAAAATAAGCATTTTCTAGTTTCCAGACAATAACTTGTGTTCAAGTGTATGGATCTCTCTGAAATTGTACTGCAAGGTACCATACCACAAAGGGAAGGCTGGGATTGAGTTTGGGAGTGATGAATCATAAGGGGGTTCAAAAAATTTGGGGGGGGGGGGGGATTTTTTTTTTCTTTTTTTTCCTTTTTTTCCTTTTTTTTTTCTTTTAAAATTTTCCATTTTAAGTTGGTTATTTCTGATTAATATTTAAAAGCAAATAATAATGATATGGTAGGAGATACACACCAAACAGGATGTGTAAATTATTATATAATAAGTATTGTGCAATAGCAAAAAATTTTCAATTGCACAGTATTGCACAATTGCAAGAAATCTTCAATTGCACAGTATTGCGCAATAGCAAGAAATCTTCAATTGCACAGTATTGCGCAATAGCAAGAAATATCCAATAGCACAATATTGCGCAATAGCAAGAAATTGTCAATTGTACAGTATTGCACAATAGCAAGAAATATTCAATTGCACAGTATTATGCAAAAGAAGATACTTCATATAAATTGCTTATTTCTTGATCAATTTCAATGGGGTTTTATTCTTGAATTCTTGGGGTTCTTTAATATGCTGAATCTAACCGTGTATTAAGTTTTTGGATTTTGGGCCCCGTTTTTAAATTGGTCCACATTGAGGTCCAAAGGGTCCAAAATTTAACTTTGTTTGATTTCATCAAAAATTGAATTATTGGGGTTCTTTGATATGCCGAATCTAACCGTGTATTTAGATTCTTAATTTTTGGTTCCGTTTTCAAATTGGTCTACATTAAGGTCAAAAGGGTCCAAAATTAAACTTAGTTTGATTTTAACAAAAATTGAATTTTTAGGGTACTTTGATATGCTGAATCTAAACATGTATTTAGATTTTTGATTATGGGCCCAGTTTTCAAGTTGGTCCAAGTCGGGGTCCAAAATTAAACTTTGTTTGATTTCAACAAAAATTGAATATATGGGGTTCTTTGATATGCTGAATCTAACCATGTATTTAGATTTTTGATTTTTGGACCCCGTTATCAACTTTGTCCACATTGAGGTCAAAAGGGTCCAAAATTAAACTTTGTTTGATTTCATCAAAAATTGAATTCTTGGGGTTCTTTGATATACTGAATCTAACCATGTATTTAGATTTTTTATTTGTGGACCCGCTATCAAATTGGTTCATATTGAGGTCAAAAGGGTCCAAAATTAAACTTTGTTTGATTTCATCAAAAATTGAATTATTGGGGTTCTTTGATATGCCAAATCTAACCGTGTATTTAGATTTTTAATTTTGGGTCCCGTTTTTAAATTGGTCTACATTAAGGTCCAAAGGGTCCAAAATTAAACTTAGTTTGATTTTAACAAAAATTGAATTCTTGGGGTTCTTTGATATGCTGAATCTAAACATGTGTTTAGATTTTTGATTATGGGCCCAGTTTTCAAGTTGGTCCAAGTTGGGGTCCAAAATTAAACTTTGTTTGATTTCAACAAAAATTGAATATATGGGGTTCTTTGATATGCTGAATCTAAACATGTTTTTAGATTTTTGGCCCAGTTTTCAAGTTGGTCTAAATTGGGGTCCAAAATTAAACTTTGTTTGGTTTCAACAAAAATTGAATATATGGGGTTCTTTGATATGCTGAATCTTACCATGTATTTAGATTTTTTATTTGTGGGCCCGCTATCAAATTGGTTCATATTGAGGTCAAAAGGGTCCAAAATTAAACTTTGTTTGATTTCATCAAAAATTTAATTATTGGGGTTCTTTGATATGCCAAATCTAACCGTGTATTTAGATTTTTAATTTTGGGTCCTGTTTTTTAAATTGGTCTACATTAAGGTCCAAAGGGTCCAAAATTAAACTTAGTTTGATTTTAACAAAAATTGAATTTTTGGGGTTCTTTGATATGCTGAATCTAAACATGTGTTTAGATTTTTGATTATGGGAGCAGTTTTCAAGTTGGTCCAAGTTGGGGTCCAAAATTAAACTTTGTTTGATTTCAACAAAAATTGAATATATGGGGTTCTTTGATATGCTGAATCTAAACATGTATTTAGATTTTAGATTTTTGGCCCAGTTTTCAAGTTGGTCCAAATTGGGGTCCAAAATTAAACTTTGTTTGATTTCAACAAAAATTGAATATATGGGGTTCTTTGATATGCTGAATCTTACCATGTATTTAGATTTTTTATTTTGTGGGCCTGCTATCAAATTTGTTCATATTGAGGTCAAAAGGGTCCAAAATTAAACTTTGTTTGATTTCATCAAAAATTGAATTATTGGGGTTCTTTGATATGCCAAATCTAATCGTGTTTTTAGATTTTTAATTTTGGGTCCTGTTTTTTAAATTGGTCTACATTAAGGTCCAAAGGGTCCAAAATTAAACTTAGTTTGATTTTAACAAAAATTGAATTCTTGGGGTACTTT